CAAGCACAGCAGTTGTCAAGGCCACAGGTCAGGAGTGCTTGACTTACTCTAATTCAGACGGTCAGTTCAGCCTAGCACTGGGAAGGTGTGTGTGAGGAGAATCATCTCTGAAGAGGCCTGGTCTGATCTACGTGTGTGTGTGTGTGTGTGTGTGTGTACGACACTACCTCTCGTTCTGAGGATGATGGCGCTGTATCCTGATCGTCGTGATGAGGGCCATCTCCTCTCTCGACCAGGTGCCAGGCAATAGCCCGCTGTTTCTTCGTCAACGGAACGGCGTGTGTCATTTCCACACTGACTCAAGCACTCCTACCACTGTGGGTCACATGGAGAGGACACGTCATACAATCTGCTAGACTACGGATCTAGACACTGTCGGATGTATGTGGTCCTGTTTAACAAACCGCCAGAATGTTATGTCTATCGACTAGCTAATATCAGATAACCTGGAATATATTTGCCTACAAATGACTGAGCCAAGTTCCATTATCCAGGTTCAGGGGAACTCCATCGGGGACTAAGACTTTTTGGTTTTGCGAGTATGCTATTAAATGTAAAAATAGGATGAAATAAAAATTATGTTTCTGAAAAACATTCTCGTTATTGAGTACTGCACCAGAGAAAAAAACTTTTGACTATAAGCTAAGGAACTTCACGCCTTTTGTCATAAAAGGTTTTATTTATGATAGCACTCTGGTGGCTTTACATTCCATTGATGTTCAGATATGGTCTTATTTAAAATATCTGCACTACGAGCTCCTCATGTGGCGTCTCTTGTCGTCTTTATTCTGTCAACTCAAATCTCTGCATTCGGTCTGCAGGCTCGGATTTTCATCAACAGAGTTACCTTTTCTTCAACAGCGGGCTTATGCAACGAAACAAAACAGAAGCCGTCAGAACAGTTGTCTTAACTAAAAGTTCCAACAGGACACTGAGTGATGTGACTGCCCCCTTCAGGCGGTGACAGTTACTGCACCCTGTTTGGCATTTCACAATGCAAATTTTGTTGGATAACATCGGCTATTTGAATTTAATAGAGCGAGGGAAAATAACTCATTTTGGGTCGTAATTTGTTTTTCTATGAAAACTGTTTAATTAGACCTGTGCTGAATTAAATTCATGAGATGCTATTTCCCTGAAGATTGCCCAAACAAATGTATTTATCATCACGTTGGATGAAAGCGGGCACACTTTTTATTCCCAGAGACGAATGTACTTTTATTTCTGACATATTCCATCATCACGTCTTTTAAATATTTATTTTTACGGAGTTAGTTTCCCGGACCAATATTGTATGTTACCTCATTATCGCATTGGTAATTAAAATTAATGCGGCAGTTTAAACGATGAATTCCCATGGTTTACACAATGGGTTGCTGTGGATAATGACACATTGGGTTCCTTATTATTTTTAGTGTTTTTTTAAGTCTACATTTTCTCCCGTTTTCCCGTAATATCCTATTAAACGCTGGAAATGTTTGTGCTTTTCTCAGATGCTGGAACCAGCACACGCCATGCTAGAACGTGATTAGGGTCCCTTGGTTTCCATTGACACCTGTTTTTCTGCTTTATATAACAGGGTAGTGTTACATTGTCATTAGTGAGTTTGAGAGAGTTTAAATTGTTTTACGATAATGGAACGTAACCTTTACTCAGACGAGGAGAGAGCCTGCTATGGGTCAGCTATGGGCCGGCTATGGCTATGGGTCAGAACACATTTTTTGTATGTGTAAATAAACTTAGCAATAAACCTGATTCTGATGTGCGGATAACTTTTAAGTAGACAATGTTGGTCCGAACGAAGTGTGTACAGTTTAATGATAAAAAAGTGCTAATATATTGCTCTGTCGACGTTACAACCACTAAAACAATACGATACTTCTAGTGTGACATTTGGTGTTTTTAAGTCACTGTAATATAAGTGTGTTTTCACATTATTGATGTGCCTTATAAATGCTCCCTTTCAACTGACACTGGTCAACACATGATCAGTATTCATTTGGAGAGGCTTTTGCATAACACAATTTTCAGATTTGTTCAACGATAGCCTTTGACTAAACCGTTCCCTGTGAATATGGGGTCTGTTGCAACAGCTTTTACCTTATGAAATGAAACCTTCTTTCACAAGTAGTAGTATTTGCATGAACCTACGAGCAACTAGGGATAACTGCACGACAGAACAACTGGATATTTTACATTTTCAGCTGGCAGATCATCACGACCTAGGCTTCTCTGAACATTTAGAGTTGTTACATACAACTCTGTCCCATCTGAATTCGTGGGGACCAATTGTGCTTAAAAATGTAGAAGACGGTAGATAGCCCAAGATAGCCTTAGTGACTGTGAACAAATAAAACCTGCCAGTCAGCTCTGTTGGGTTGGAGCTATGCCTACTTTCTGATGTTGATCTGATTGTAATCAATAGGATACAAAAACAATTTTCAGAATTTCTTTCATTCTATACAAACAGTTAAATTAAATATACACAAAGTACAGAGTAAATATTTGGACCATCCAGAACCAAATTTTAAGTATAAAGTTATAAAGACTCCACGCTTTATGTTGAAATAACAAATCCCGGTTGTGCTCGACCCCTAGACAAACAGCCAGACAAGCCGGTTTTTCAGATCTCTTCACCTATTTAGTTACCTGACTGGAGGTACAGGATGTGTCTTATTCAACCGGTAGGAAACACTCTCAGAAGTAATCCTTTTTTGAACACAGACAGGATTGACTGAGGATGAGAGGGACATATTTTACTTGACCAGAGCTTTTTAATGGATGTAGAGAATTATCCTCAAATTCTAATTGGTTTTGTTTAATGGGTTTGACTCTATACCACCCCTCCTACTTCTGCTCAACTCAGTGGCTTACTAGAAGGAGGAACCAGCTGGAGTACAGACACCTCACCTATATATTCCTAACCAGCTGGAGTACAGACACCTCACCTATATATTCCTAACCAGCTGGAGTACAGACACCTCACCTATATATTCCTAACCAGCTGGAGTACAGACACCTCACCTATATATTCCTAACCAGCTGGAGTACAGACACCTCACCTATATATTTCTAACCAGCTGGAGTACAGACACCTCACCTATATATTCCTAACCAGCTGGAGTACAGACACCTCACCTATATATTCCTAACCAGCTGGAGTACAGACACCTCACCTATATATTCCTAACCAGCTGGAGTACAGACACCTCACCTATATATTCCTAACCAGCTGGAGTACAGACACCTCACCTATATATTCCTAACCAGCTGGAGTACAGACACCTCACCTATATATTTCTAACCAGCTGGAGTACAGACACCTCACCTATATATTCCTAACCAGCTGGAGTACAGACACCTCACCTATAGATTCCTAACCAGCTGGAGTACAGACACCTCACCTATATATTCCTAACCAGCTGGAGTACAGACACCTCACCTATATATTCCTAACCAGCTGGAGTACAGACACCTCACCTATATATTCCTAACCAGCTGGAGTACAGACACCTCACCTATATATTCCTAACCAGCTGGAGTACAGACACCTCACCTATATATTCCTAACCAGCTGGAGTACAGACACCTCACCTATAGATTTCTAACCAGCTCAGGTGTGAGGAAACTGAAAAACAGAACAGAAAAACCCCATAAGAGTTCTAAATCACGAGGGCAGTGAAAACGATATCTCTTGTGTCCAGATATACCCTTTTGTGGACGTGCTAATAAGCAGAGCAAACCTAATAAGAGAGAATAGATAAGAAGAGAAGAGGAGACTGTGAAGCAGAAAATACGCAAGTTCAAGATTACACGAATAGAGACTGACCTGTCATTTTAAATCATTAGGTTGGAATGTTCTTTGGATGGCTTGGTTGTGGCCTGCGTGCCATTGGCTGTGTCCTGAAGGACCGACCCAAGTCAGCTGTGCCCGTTAACAGCCTGGCACCATGATGCTGTGTTTGGGAGGCAGAAGACGGTCCAGTCACCACATCTACAGGAGGGATGAAGAACGTTTAGTGGTTAATGAGCCTCAGATAATTCCAAACCCAGGCTACCTGGACCCAGGTAACAGCAACCAATAGTCACCTAAAGCAGTTCTTATTTTGTCTATGGATTTTCTAGCTGCATTTGAGGGGTTTACCGTGAGGGTTTGTAGCTCAATGGTTTCTTGATATTTGCCGTGTACTTTGTTGACGATATTTCCTCAGTAATAGCCTTGGCTTGTTTCTATGCCTGTCTCAAAACTTCTTGGAAGATGATTTGCTGACTTGATGTAGTACCCCTTCACACATATTAAATACCAGTACACAATAACATGTCATTTATCTTATATTATGACAGTGTGACTACATAAATCATTTCAAATCACTTATCATCCATAAATCATTTTCTACAAAAACAACACTCTATGACCGAAATGGTGAATTACATCGCCAATCTATCCCAAGCTGTATTTTTAATGTGTATATTTTTATCTGTTGTACTTATAAATACTATTGAGGTACTATTTAAATAGTATTATGTATGCATCCATGCGTTAACATGGACCCACTCATTTCATACTTACCCCATGCTTTAATGAGATTTAATGGCATTTTAATGCTTATTATTATTTTAATACTTATGAGATATACCACCATTTGAAATATATTTCAGTAGTTAATTCAGGGTATGTGTTGGAGTATATACTTTAAGTATACTGCTTCTCAGGATTAGGACATAGCACCTTTTTGAAAATGTGTCTAGTGCTCCGGTTTGAGTTTTTTTTACGGGTTTCATGTGGTTCTTTCTAGTGAAGAGTAGGTTGTTTTCTTTATAGGATCCAGTTAATACCTGTTATTCAGATTTAGTTTTTGCTTCCATCTGTCAGTCAGCAGTAATGCGTCCAGATGCCTAGTCTGGATCATTTGGTTTCATATATGGATATGTAGAATAATATTCAAGGTGTGTTCTAAAGTGCACTTTCTTTTTCTATTAAAGTCTGCTTTTTTTGAGGGGTTTGTGTAGCTCAGTGGTAGAGTGCATGCTTTGTATGTATGAAGTGAAGTCCTGGGTTCAATCCCCAGCTTCTCCCCAGGTTGCTGTTGCAAGTGAGAATTTGTTCTCAATCGGCCTACCTGGTAAAGGTAAAGATAAAGGTTTTATAAAAAAATATAATAAAAATTGATTTATTTCCAGTGCCTTCCAGTGCATGTTCCTCTCTCTGTGACCACATGGGGCCGCTGCAGTTGACTACTGCACCATCACTTGCCTCTGTGTCCTGTAGGGAAAACTACATGGGAATTAGGTTTGACCCAGTTGGCTTTGTCTTCTGCTGTTATTCTAATGAGGAGACTAAATTACATTAAAATGACAAGATGAATATGCATCAGTTTAAGGTGGCATAATCCGTTGCTAGCAATGACAAACAGATAATTGTTTTTGTCAAAATGCTAGTTCCGAAAGAATTCAGAAAGAATTAGCATTCTGATTAAAGTCAGTTTCTTCCTGGAATTTCTTTTAAATTAGGTAGCAATAACTTTATGCAGTGATTGTAACTAGTTGTGTTAATACAGCAGCATAAGCAAAAGGGCACATTTTCCCATTCTTGCCTCATAAAGCTTTCTGGAACCACCCGTGTGCGATCCATGTGGTCTGTCTGTGGCGTACTGTAGAATTAGCAGTGCTTAAGGTAGGGTTAAAAACCTGGCAACATGGATGTTTTTTGTCAGGAACTCACTACTCTGTGTTTTCCTCCTTTACACTGAGCCATGGGAAAAAAACATAATTTTTTTTTACACGATTTGTTTGGTGGAATGCGAACGAGGGGAGGGAGAGAGGGGAGCGGAGGGAGGGAGGGAGAGAGAGAGAGAGAAGCGAAGGGAGGCTGAGGGAGGGAAACCCCCAGGGACACAGAGTTTTCTTTCATTGCAGTTTGTTTTGGGATCATGTCTTTGTTGACTGCTGCAGCAACGATCGACAGCTCTTAACTCACTGGATCACTGTTCATTCCTCACTGGATCACTGTTCATTCCTCACTGGATCACTGTTCATTCCTCACTGGATCACTGTTCATTCCTCACTGGATCACTGTTCATTCCTCACTGGATCACTGTTCATTCCCCACTGGATCACTGTTCATTCCCCACTGGATCACTGTTCATTCCTCACTGGATCACTGTTCATTCCTCACTGGATCACTGTTCATTCCTCACTGGATCACTGTTCAGTCCTCACTGGATCACTGTTCATTCCTCACTGGATCACTGTTCATTCCTCACTGGATCACTGTTCATTCCTCACTGGATCACTGTTCATTCCTCACTGGATCACTGTTCATTCCTCACTGGATTACTGTTCATTCCCCACTGGATCACTGTTCATTCCTCACTGGATCACTGTTCATTCCTGTTACTCTCAGAAGACTGAAATCTCTCTGGGAAGGAAATCATCTCAGAGTGTCGGTGTGTTTAAAGGCCAAGCGGTGCACGGGTTGGGATCTGTTCCTTGTTTTCCTACTATCCCGTTGGTTCGGAGGCTGCAGGAAAGTTCAAACAGACACACTCCCTCACACTGTGCACAGCGGGCGAGGGCTCAGAGATTAGGGGTTTTGTTTCCAGTGTCGGCAGAAAAAGGATTGTGCACATCTCGCCGAGAAGGAGAAGATGTCTCAGTTTTTATCCAGTCTTTTATCCACTGCTCAAGGCCATGCAGGTGTGAGAAGTTTGTGTGTTTTTTTGGGGTATTTCTGCCCTTGTTAGCCCTCGCGTTGGACAGGTACACGAAGATAAGAGAAGGAGAACAAATGCCCCAATCCAACCAGCATCCTGAAGCCGTCTGCAGTGCTGCTGTAGTGTCAGGCTCCAGGGGGGTGAAGGTGGCACTGAGGATTTGCCCGGGCTTGTGAGAAGTTAGTTTTCCGTGTCAAAGGTGAAGGATTATACCTGGGGTTGGAATGTAGCCTGGAAGTGAAGAAGTCAGAGAGCAGCCCGAAGCACCAGGGTGGGGAGAGTGTGTTTGCTTTGTGACTGTGTGTGTGTGTGTGAGCCTATTTACCTGTGTGTAAGTTGGCTACTGTATGACTGTGTGTCCTGGAGAGGGCAGTGCCATGCTATTACTGAGCAGTAGGGCAGCAACTCTCCCCGGGACCGCAGGTAAAACTTTAAAACCCTGTGGGTCAGGAGGAGACCGGGCCACAGTGAACCACATCTCTGTTATCCTGAACGGACCTCCTCTGAGGTGTGAGGAGGAGTGGGTGGGCCTGGCCCACCTGGAGGAGCGTCCTCCTGCAGCCCTGAGCGCTCTGGGAGCGCCACGGGCCATCCAGGGGGAGGAGGGACAATTCAGACTCAGCAGGTGGCCCTCCCTGTACTACGCCTGCAGAGAGGAGCCGAGGGAGGAGGCAGCGAAGGAGGAGGGGAGAGGAAAAATGAAGACGGACCGGTTTCTCCGACTCCAACAGCCCTCCCGTAACTCAGCAGCTTCTCAGGCAGACGGGAAAACGGCAGCGCTACGGGCAGAGGCAGCCACAGCAGCTCCAAGGCAACAGCAGACCCAGGTGGACCTCCAGGAACTAGACGTTTCTCCCCAGACTGGAAGGCCTCTCCCTGGGCATCATGGAGGTGTCCTGGCCGATTGCGGCTCACTGCCCCGGGCTGTACTCTGTAGGAGGCCATCCCAGGACGACGCTGCTCCAAACCACAGACGGGCTCTGAGCATGTATGTAGCCCCGGCCCGGCAGCAACGAGGCTCGCTAAGCAACCAGGACAGACCGGACAAATCCAGGAGACCTAGAAGTGTGTGCATGCTGGCAGGCCCCAACTTAAACCCGGCACTGTCAGAGCTCAGCTCCCACGCGTCCCACACCCAGCAGAGCTCCAGGATCCGGGCTACCGGATCTCTAGACGGTACCGCCGAGCAGCGCTGGACCCGGAGAGCCGAGTTGCGGGCGGTCGACGGCCTCAAGCCGGGGATCGTCGCTCATCGAACGGTGGCAGAGGCAGAGGACAAAGTGGTCCCCCGGGTCCAGCAGAGAACCCAGAAACAGAGGCCGGTCAGTATGACGGTGCTGGAGCTCAGGAGGAAGGCTAACGGGTCTCAGGACAATCTCAACAGCGAAGGGGGAAACACCGCGGGGGGTCTATTCGGCCGTTGGAGGCTGTTCGGCCGACCGACCCAGGACAAGGAGAAGGAAGGTGCCGCGGTGTCCAAGCCGGCTAGCAGGCCGGATGTCCCCAAGAAGAACCGGAGCTCATTACGCCGGAGCCTCAGCCTGCGGATCAGACGGAACCGGCCACAGGAGAAAGCGGACCCGTCCGAAGTGACAAATATTGAAACGTCTCTCCCCGCGCGTCCATTCTCCTACCTTACCGGGAGAACCCTGTCGGTGCCGAACGGCCGGGATCATGATGGAGGGATGCGTTATGTTCAGTACCACAGCCAGGGAAAGGTTAAGGTCATGGAGGTTCCTGTCAACCCGGCCGAACTGTTGTCATCCAATAAACCAGTCCAAGAGGAGCTCAGTTTTTGGCAACTTATAGCCCGGCGCTTTAGGAGGAAAGAGCAACAGCAGCCAACCAACACGAATCGTGAACTCCAGCCCACCCCCCTGGGAGAGGAGATTCACACCGGCATGTATCCCTTGGCTGGGAAAAAGAAGCCTCAGCCTGTTGCCATAGAGACTCTGTCAGACAGTGACTGCAGAAAAGGTCAAGGTAAGATTCTCTCTTAAGACAGATGAATATATTACCCACAACTTACTTGCCCGGATTTGGAACTGAACTTTTATGGTTAGACAAGATCTAGGAGAAAGGTGATCTTTTGGGGGGGAAAGGTCAAATTGAAAACATTGATTACAATTTTAATTAGAAGTGGCTTTTCGTGACTGTGTGAATTTGGCCACTAAGAACAATTAGCATCAAAGACCATATGTCCTTTGGATGAGTTCGACATGGACAGACCATTGTACAAGTTTGTCATTTCGCTTTTTCAACGATTGACTTTATCGGTGGTTTGTTCATCAACATACATGTACACAAAGATATAGTAATGTTTGTTTTTTTTCAGAGATATTGTCGTCAGTAACCAATAGTAGTTGATACTGTTGTCCTCATAGTGCCACAGCTTAAAGCAGGAGGCATTTAAATGATCAGGCAGTCAAGGGTCATGCAGAAGCTTCTGGCAGCCAACCAGAGCTAAATAAGGAGGACCTACATTATGTAATGATGGGGAACTGAGGCACCGTGATGGGGAACTGAGACATCGTGATGGGGAACTGAGGCACCGTGATGGGGAACTGAGACATCGTGATGGGGAACTGAGACACCGTGATGGGGAACTGAGACACCGTGATGGGGAACTGAGACACCGTGATGGGGAACTGAGACATCGTGATGGGGAACTGAGGCACCGTGATGGGGAACTGAGACATCGTGATGGGGAACTGAGACATCGTGATGGGGAACTGAGACATCGTGATGGGGAACTGAGACATCGTGATGGGGAACTGAGACATCGTGATGGGGAACTGAGGCACCGTGATGGGGAACTGAGACATCGTGATGGGGAACTGAGACATCGTGATGGGGAACTGAGACATCGTGATGGGGAACTGAGGCATCGTGATGGGGAACTGAGACATCGTGATGGGGAACTGAGGCATCGTGATGGGGAACTGAGGCACCGTGTTTAAAGGTTGGCTGGCTTGGTGCTGTCCCCTCACTGTTACCAGTATGGGATTCAGTTTGTATTTGTGAGGAATGCCAGCAGTCCGTGCTTTGGTTTTATTTCCCTAGCACTTGTTTACAAATGATCATGTTTTCGTTTTTGGCCTAAATACTAGCCACGGTAAAACCATTTTTAGCTTTTTTTGTCACAAGCGTGTATTCATTTTGTTTTCGTAATGTTTCAAATCAAAATCTTTTCCAGAGAGTATCTATGATGTTTATTTTGTATTAGCAGGGCACAATCCATATTAACGTTTAAACAAAACATGGCTTCCTGACCAAATGCTCATTCCAGGTGTGGGGGAAAATATGTAACTGTCATTTGTGTGAACTATTCTTTTACTCTGGACGGGTACAGATATTCCAGTTT